GGCAATTACCCCCAAACCCAATTCCAGCTTTCCCTTTGTGATATGGAACCTTGTAGTACAATTTCAGAAAGATCCATACACTTACACACAAGTTATTGTCATGAAACTAGAAAAATGCTTGTTTTTTTATCCTTTTTTTGCCCCTAATTCCTAAAATTTTGAAGCAATTACCCCCAAAATCAATCCCAGCATTCCCTTTGTGATATGGAACCTTGTGGTACAATGTCAGAGAAATCCATACACTAACACACAAGTTATGTCTGGAAGTTACAAAAATGCTTATTTTTGGCCCCTAATTCCTTAACTGTTGGTATCATAACCCCCAAAATCAATCCCAACCTTCCTTTTGTGGTATTGAACCTTATGGTAAAATTTCATAGAGATCCATTCACTTAAACTAAAGTTAGAGTGCGAAAACCAATGTGTCTTCGGACGACAACGACGCCAACGTCATACCAATAAACGACCACAAAAATTTTTTTGCGGTCGTATAAAAATGAAGAGAAAGTTCCATTAATAAAATTTGAATGAAAAAAATGTTAAAAAAATAGATTGCTCTGCAGAGCGCAGCTGGATACGACCGCAGAGGTCCAACCCTGAACTGTTTGGGCAAAAATGGACACAATATTCGCGCTTGATACAGGTCTGAATTTGGATTGTAATTAAATATTTGACACATATTAAATAGGTTTCTGACACAGAATAACTGTAGTCAAAGAACTTATAATTGGTTATATGATTTGAATTTATATTCATTTTTTTGCTTTTGTGCAATACACTATGCTGTTGCGAATTGACCCCCCCCCCCCCCCCCCCCCCGAATTTTTTTTTTTTTAACCCTCCCCTCCCCCCTTTTTTTTGCAAAAAAAAAATATTAGAAATTTCTTTTTAATTTCTGAAATCTGAAATGGGATCAAAATTGTCCCCCCCCCCCCCCCCCCCCCAATTTTTTTCACCTCCCCCCTTTTTCCAAAAAAAAAAAAAATCTTTCCCTCCAGATATGGTCATAATCTCAATTCAAATTTCAAGGGCGGATTTCTATTTACATATACTAAAGTTATTGTCTGGAAACCAAATGTCTTCGGAAAACGCAGACGTGATACCAATATACGACCGCAATTTTTTTTGCGGTCGTATAAAAAATTAGAAGAGAGGCTGTATCCTTTAAAAACCTTATTTTGAAGAAGATATTTCATATAAAAAAAATTAAAATCATGTCTGCTCAACTTGCAAAGGTTTCATATCAACTGCACAAAAAAAAAACTTGAACATTAAAAGTGATGATCTCACACAAATGCAATGTTATTTTTTTTATATTTATATGCATGTAATTTTAATTAATTTAACATTTTTAACAAAGTAACACTTCCTGGAAAGATCAACAACCTCACTTCTGTGTAACAGTACACACATGCACTTAATGGCACCATACATGTACATTATGGATTTATACATGGATCTACTTTTAAAACATTTATTTTTATGTATATAATAGATAATGCATGCATGTGTGACATATAGTTGTAAACTTCTATATACAATGTATATGTCATTTGGTCTCTGGTGGAGGGTTGTCTCATTGGCAATCATACCACATCTTATTTTTATGTGTCTATATTTTTTATGGTTTCAAACTAAAAATTCATACCACACAAAAAAATAGTGATGATCGACATTTACATGAAACCTAAACTTATGACTATGCTTGTATTGCATACGTATTCCCCCTATCTGTGTACATTTGCCTTATAAAGTCATTAAAAACTTTTTGATGCTTTTTATGCTATAATTGCAATTGTTATTAATATTTTTTATGATTTCGCTAACTAATCCAATAAATGCATGCAAGATGTTGATGGATCAAAAGCTATTTTTGTGACTACATTTATCATATTAGCAAGAGGTTTAGCACTGTAAAACTGTATTAAACCATTAGTTATTCTTCAGAATACTTGGTACATGTTGCTCACACATTTTTGAAAGCAAAAATGATTTGTCAGTTTTATAACAATTACTGATTTGGATTTTCTTGTACTCGGGTTTCAAAATTCAATTGTAGTTATACGTGTTCATTGGTGTTTACCTCTTTGTAAGATTACCCCTCACATTATGAACTTATTAAAAGTGATTTCACTTGTAGAAAATTTTTGATTGACACAATTTGAGCAAGAGTTACTACCCTATTGTCACATTTTTGGAGGTCTACCGTGCAAACTCCCATTACAAATCAGCCAAATTCAGCTAGTTAAACATTAAGAAAAGGTTGTTTTTTGAACAATTTTAATTTGTTTTAGTCATGCTTAATTCATCACTACAATCTAGTAATTATCTTTTATCAGACTTGTCTGTCATCTCTGTACCACATGTAATTTGGTGAGTCAAATAAGAAAATTAACCATTTATGGCACACATTCAAAAGGATGGCCAAGGGAAATAACTCAAGCTCAAATTATGTCATATAGAAACATATATATTCTATAAGTTGAGAGTTATAAAAATGTTTCAACATCAGAGGCGGATTCAGAGGGGGGGGGGGGGGGCCCTTTTGTGGGAAAAATTTGGTTGTTTATATAGGCATATTAATTCGACAAAACCAGAGGATTCCAAATTGTCTTTGAAACAGAAAGTAGAACCAAGCATTTTCAGATCCTTTTAAGCAAAGCTTAGACACAGGTCCTGTTTTTTAATCAGATTGATTATCAAACAGAGGCACAATGCCCAAATTATATTATTCAGGTTCATTTTTAATTCAACACATATGCCTCTTTCATAATAAAATATTAGTTTTCAAAAAAATAAAATGTAGAATTGGTCTACCGTTTTCATTGACTTTTGTTCACTTAATATTCACTAACAATGCATATTCAGGATGAGAACAAATTAACAACTAAAACATTACCCTAGGTTCTGCAAATTTGGACAACCAGGATAAAGCGTGAGAATTTTTGACTAATACTGGAAAAGAGGGTGGGGAGAGAAATTTAGACTTGCAGCACTCCACTTACCAACCCCTCAGGGTAGTTGCAGAGTAGTTGCAAGGGTTCTTAACCACCATGCAGTGAGTGTAGGACTCTCCTTACACAAGACATAAAATTTAACAACCCAATTCAACCAACACATGTTAGCGCATTTATACATCCTGCTTAGACAAATAGATGTCCATCTTTAGCACAAGTTCTACTGCCGGATGGAAGAAGTCTAGGCAACCATACTCATTTACCCCTACAAATGAAACTTCAAGAAACAACACTTTTTGGGATTGAATGTCAGCAGCAGTCAATTTATTTTGTTATCTGTAAATAAAAATACAAGAAATAAAATTTAAAATCCCCATGCAAATAATTTAATTACTATATATATACATATCTATGTTGTCTGGTTTATGAGCAAATAAATGGGTTTTTCCCTAATAGAGTAAAAAAAAAACACTTATAAATTTAGCATACAACAGTTGTACAGCATCGATCTCTCTCAAAGGAAACAACAGAAACGTAACTATAAATTATTGGAATTTACATCAATAAATGTTTTGAACTCAGGAAACTATCAATATAGTACAGATATGTTTATATGTAACCCATTAAATTTATTTGCCTGTTAATATTATATATAATCTGTTTTATTACTGCTTTTTTACACATGACTGTGCCTATGGCTCTGATCTGAATGTGGTTTAAGATCTCAAAATAAAGTTGATTATATTCATATTTATATATGATTGTCAAAATTATTTGTGTTAATAAAAAGAAATATTGCACAGTGTATTACTTTGCTCTTCATGGGCCCTTTAATTGGAATAACAATATCTTATCTTATTCACACAAATGTTTTGCAAAGTTTATTATCCAATGTTTGTTCACTATAGTCTGTCTTCTTTTCTACAGTTCTTTTAAAGATGTATACTTAATATATACATGTTTTTTGTATAGGTGTTTATGAATTGTGTACCCATCAAACTACTTAGTATAAATAACAAGAATTTCTGACAGACAATTAATAAAAACAATTGAATGAACTTTGCCTCATAATAATAAAGTCAACAGGGAACACAATTTCTGTAGACTTTAGCTTATCCTGTACATGCATATGTGTACCTACATGTACATGTATAGTGGTTATGTTGCAAACACAAGAGTTTTTGGATACTTGAAAATTTTTCAGGCAATTACTTATATCGCACTTTTCTTTTGTGTGCATGTTGTGTGTGAGAATGTAATAACTATCCTTATATCTAAAACATTGAACATTTAATAGTTTAAATAAGTAATTTGCAATGTATGGTTGACGACTTTCTACAAGGATTTATATGACCTTATATAGTAAGACTTTCTATAAATCCTTGGTTTCTTCAGACATATATATAGGTGTGTATATTTACAAATGTATGTCTCTGGTTTCTTGAACAAAATGTATGTGCTCACTATTTTATTATTTCCAAACACCTAGAAGTTATTGGTTAGTTACATCAGAGACATATGTCTCTGGTTACATGTTTTTGACACTTTTTTTTCTTTTAATTACATTCTGGTGTGTTGTTTTGGCTTTATTTAGTCTAATTTCATATCATTTAAACAAGTTCTGATTTGTAAAAGTTTGAAAATTACTACCACTTAAAGTCATTTAACCTGCTGACATGGTCAAATATGTATTGTTTTTCTAAATGTATACATTTTTGCACGGTAAATACAATGCATGCCTCTTAATATTGAATAATTCCCATCACGCGAGCAGCCGTATGAAATACAAGTTGACAATCCATTACTGAAAAAGAAAAATCGACTGTTGCTACCAGTTCATGTCTTCGTCGTCATTTCCGCTTCCCAAATTCTGCAAAAAGACTTAAATATCTATTAAACCTCCTGCAATAATATTTTGTGACCATGTTTTTGATCCCATCGAGTCTCGATTTCTGCGCTGTTGGCGACCACCGAGTACTCAACAGTTCACAAACAAATGATCGAAATAGATAAGTCCACCAAAAGTTTCTCCCTCATACTTACAAAGAAATTTTTAATTATCTTCTTCCTGAAATAAGACTAAGCATTACATTACATATTTATCTCCGTTCCTTTATCCTTTAACGGAAAGTTAAGCAATGGCTGTCTGGAAACTGACCAATCAGGTTAGAACAAAAAGTATCAATAAATTCTCTGAGTAATCTCCCTTATCCCATATTTTATTTCATGCTGATAAACACTATATGAATCCTATATACATGGATCTACATGATGATGATGATAGTAATTAATAGAATTTACATGTAAAAACTTGAAAATATTTTATGTGACATGCACATTATCTAACTTTTTTAACACTCTTGTTAATCCTGGATGGATAATGAAGATGAATTTTAATATTATCATTAGCGATACCGGCCGATTTTAGACGAGTGCTTGCTCTAGATATAAACTTTTTTCCAAAAAAGTGTCCTCCACCAGTCCGCCTCCATTCTGTTGGTATAAAGTAAGTAATCAATATGAAATATATATATAACATAGAACAGGACTAGTATAAAATAAGGAGATGTGGTATGATTGCCAATGAGACAACTATAGAACTGAGTCCCGAGATGAACCATATTAAAGCAACCATGTATATAGATATATATATAGATCACAGTACGGTCTGCAACAATGAGCAAAAACCATACCCCATTATATTAAGGCGGTGGCTGTTTTGCCGGCTCTGATTAAAATATCTTAATTAAAGCCATCAAAATAGCATATTTCTATAGCAATGGATATTTTGCCGGCGCCGGCAATATAGTGAATTTGTTATTTTGTTTTTTTTTAAGAGAGAATTTCACTAATATTTACATTTGAAAAGTACTACGAAAATGTGCATTGTCAACATAAAGAATCAAATTATTACTCATATAGTTAAATTAGATAACAGTAACAGTATTTGAGATACATATAATCGTTTAAAACATTTATCTATCAAAGAAAACATTGTAGAATTTGCCAACGTAAATAGAAATAAAAATAAAGACATTGAGCATCCATTTGTAGCAATGAAATCATATTAAAACATGCAGTTGAAATTACTTCTAACATCAGTCACAATCTAATGCTAAATGTACCGGTATGCATAATACTTTTGCAGATTGTGACTTGGATGGAGAGTTGTCTCATTGGCACTCATACCACATCTTCTTATATCTATAAGAATAAAATCTCAGGTTTTTTAACTGTATGTCGTAAAAAATTAAAAGTTAAAAATCTCATTGCATATAAATTTGATAAAACATTATATAATATAACAAAATTAATCACATAACTTCAAAATTAAAAATGTTAAAATTAATTTTGCTTTTGAAATAAAAGTCAGTTCTTTGGATTGCATATCTGCAAAATCGTTTTTACTGGCAATATTGGCTTCCGCTTATCTAGAGCCGACAAAACAGCATATTTTCTATTTTGAAAAATAGCCACTGCCTTTTAATTAATTGTGCTCTTGTGTGGTACTGTTGCAACACTGTCCGAGGCTACGGAAGGACAGCCGGGCGCTCACAAGCATGTTTAACTCCACCGTATTCTAAAGTTAAGGGTCTGGCCCATGTCAGAAGCCTTCAATTCAGTGGTTGTCGTTGGTTGCTCTCTGACATACTTCTTGATGCCCATTGTGGGTCAGTTTTCGGTAAATAACGGTTAATTGATGATGAAGTTGTAGTTGCATTTGTTTTTCGTTTATTATAAAAACAAGTAGAATGTTGCCAATGAGGCAATCTCCACCAGAGTCCAAATGACGTAGAAGTTAACAACTATAGGCCATCGTACGGCCTTCAACAATGATCAAAACCCATATCGCAGAGTAAACTATATAAACCCCGAAATGACAAATCAAAAACAAATACGATATACATCAACAAACGACAACCACTGATTCATGACTTAACTGGGACAGGCACATGCAGAATGTGGCGGGGTTAGTCATGTTTGATGGCGCCACCCCCTCCTAACCTGGGACAGTTGTGTAACAGTACAACATGAAAACTATGAGGCGCCGTTTTACTATTTATTCCTTATTTTCTGATATCAAAAAATATTTCTTGATATCCAAAAATTGAATTCCTGATATCAAAAAATGATTTTTTGATATCAGGAAATATTTCTTGATATCAAAAAATATTTCTTGATATCAGGAATTCAATTTTTTGATATCAAAAATTGCCTTTTTTGATATCAAGAATTCGATTTCTTGATATCAGAAAATAATCTTTATTTCTTGATATCAGAAATTCGATTTTTTGATATCAAAAAATCATTTTTTGATATCAAGAAATCCATTTTCTGATATCAAAAAATAGATTTTCTGATATCAATTATTACTGACGATATTTTGATATCAAGAAATACATTTTCTGATATCAAAAAATGATTTTTTGATATCAAAAATTCGAATTCCTGATATCAAAAAATCATTTTTTGATATCAGAAAATAAGAAGAATATCAACGATTGCTCCCTGTGTGTCAATAAAAGCATCAACGTTCACCAATGAGCCCTTACATTAAGTCTGGTGTTTCGGTCGTGTAATATATACGAAAGCATGTATCAGAGTTCGGCTTCATCAGTCTTAATATATATAAGAAGTTTTGTGTTTTTTGTGTTTCACATATTTATTATTTTAAGGTTTATAGTCAATAATTGTAAGTTCTCGCTTCTTTTATAAGCAATTATTAGTTTCCTTTGAAACAGATTTGTGCAGTCAGGTTTTTGCAAATATCAAGCCCCAGCCCAGCAGGCACAATAACGTTGTTTCAACCTTGAATAAACGTCAGATTTCAACGTTGAATCAATGTTGAAAAGTAGTGTTGGATTGAAAATTGATATGACATTGAAAACATAACGTTGATTCAACGTCAGCTTTCAACGTTGAAAATAGGTTGAATTTTCGTCTCAATTTGGTCAGTGTATGTTGAAAAAAAGTCGATTGCTGGTTGAATTGTGGTTAGTGTATGTTGAAATCAGGTCGAATGTTGGTGAAACTATAGTAAGTGTACGTTGAAATCAGGTCGAATGCTGGTTGAACTGTGGTCAGTGTATGTTGAAATCAGGTCGAAAGCTGGTTGAACTGTGGTCAGTGTATGTTGAAAATAGGTAGGATTTGGGTCCAGGTAGATTGTTGTAGGGTTAATTTAAGTTGAAACTAGAAATGTCGTCAATGTTGAGAATAGGATGTTGAACATTGGTTAAATTGAGGTTTGATAACAGCTGAAATCATTACCCCTTATTATATCCATCAATACCATTTTATGTGTAATAAAACTATCGCAAAACTATATGTACTAAGTGGGAGTAGTCATGCGTCGGTGGTTGATGTACATGTAGTCTGTTGCAGAATTCAATATTTATGTCATTGAAATTTCTGCCTGTTCGAATATTTCCCTTTTTAGATTTCTCTACATTTTATGATCAAGTGGAAAATAAGTCATTCTCTTTGTTTCGGTAATACTGGTAAGGAGACCACTCATTTCTGAATCTGATGTTTATTATTCAAGCCTTGACAAGAAGAACAGGAACAAGTTATTAACCATGTTAACCTTACCAGGCATAGATAATCGGAAACTTTATTGTAATGTCAGTTGGCATACATTTTTGTAACTTTATTTTTCTTTATAGACAGGATCTTGTTGTGCTCATAACTATTTTGTTAATACACAAAATATGTTTGTGACACAAAACAGTAATTATATAACAAGTTGCTCATATATGCATCTTACAATTTTAAACAAACACAAACTGAACAATTAATTTTATTTAAAAGTTTAGTCCTTCTGCTAGACACATTCCCAGATATAACAGGGGCATATTTTAGGTATCTTGCACAGTAGTTCCATATTGTGGTCTCTGTTGCACATTAGTCACTTGTAACTACAGCATCTGCAACAGAAAAAAAAAACATATTGTGCTATCTTTATCATAACTTCGTAAATATCATTATGCAGCTCTAATAAAGAATACTACTTTTATATATGAACAAACAAGATATCATTGAGATGGGAGCCATCTCTGTGGGCCCCGCTGTGAATAATGTACATTACATTTTTTTATCTTTACCATAGGACATGGGGTTGTCAACTGAATCCAAAGTTTTTGACCTTGAACTTTGGCCTAGGAAGTTGTACATAAATTATGACACACCCTCTGGTGTTGGTTTATATACATGTCAAGTATAAACTTTGAAATCTTAACGGTTCTCAAGATATAGAGCGGACACGATCTTTACCATAGGACATGGGGTTGTCAACTGAAACCAAAGTTTTTGACCTTGACCTTTGACATAGGAAGCTGTACATACATTATGACACACCCTCTGGTGTTTGTTAATATACATGTCAAGTATAAACTTTGAAATCATAACGGTTCTCAAGATATAGAGCGGACACGATCTTTACCATAGGACATGGGGTTGTCAACTGAAACCAAAGTTTTTGAATTTGACCTTTGACATAGGAAGCTGTACATACATTATGACACACCCTCTGGTGTTGGTTAATATACATGTCAAGTATAAACTTTGAAATCATAACGGTTCTCTAGATATAGAGAGGACAATATGTGTTACGGACGGACAGACGGACGGACGGACAGACTGATCACTATAGGGCGTCCGCCATTTGGTGGGGCCCTAATAATCTCTGTGCAATGCTATTGTTATTTCTTTAGATATCTATTGAGAGCGACCATGTGTTTTTTTTTTAAACTTGAGTTCAGAAATGAGAAAATAAAAATATTTCTAAAAAAAAAACAAAGATTTTAGAGACAAAGTGACAAAATCTCACACAATTTGTAATATGAAAAAACAATGACATATATTATTTCAATACTCATCTCTTATTATTTCAAACTAGCTTGAATCACCGAAGGCATGTTTATTCTTTATACCCGGTAATATGTAATTTCCGACACTGGTTTATTTGTAAGACGTCTACAAAAAAAAAAATTTAAGTGCAGCATTTCTAAATTATCAACTCCCTCTTTAACTTGAAAATAAAAAGTTTCATATGTGTGAAACGCTTACAAAATTTTGACTTCCAAAACCTTTCATAAATTGTTTGAAAACCTTATGGTTCAATTATTTTTATTGTAGCATGAC